ATGCACTCCTGTTTTAGTTGTATCTTCCCCTCCAAAAAAAATTTTTGAAATTCCTTTTTTTTTTTGAAGTGTGTTTATTGAAAGACACTGGTTCTGACTCAGTGATTACATATAAGGGCAAAGTAAACTTTCAAGGAACTAATTTTCTCATCACTTTGGAGGAGCTAGTAGGTCACGAGCCTGATGCCATAGTGCTGTGAGGGATCCTTAAGATTGCTCTTTCCATTTCATGAACATTCATGAAGATCTTTTTCAGTGCAAACTGTACAACAGGCATGGTCACAAAACCTTCAGATTTAGTTGTATCTTGAGTCAATCTCCTTTGAGATATAAAAAAGATTAATTAAAGGAGCAAAGATCAGAGTAACCTGATGACTGCTTCCAAGAAAGAAGAGCCGAAGCAGAGCACATTTTTTTGGATCTTGCGTCCCTGAGCTTTGAATTCAGAGGAAGATTGATGACAAAGACATTCTTCTAGGGCTGACAGAAAAAGGCCTTTTCTAGTATTGACAGCCTGATTTCAGACGTCTAGCTCCTTGAGTGTGAGAGAGAAAAAAAATTCTTTTGTTTGTTAAAGCCATCTATCTACTGTGGTGGTTCTTTTATAGCAGAACTAGATAACTAAGATGTGGTGAGGTTTCAAAAGACAACTAGAGAGTAAGCAGAGAGAGAAGGGAAGAGGTGAATGAGAGGCATGATATGAAAAAGAGAAATAAAAGCAGATGCAGAGGATGATGGCCTGCTGAGCTGGCTTGTGTGGAGAAAACGCTATTGGGAGTCTTTTGATATTGAAAGTGAGTAGTTAGGGAATAGTGAGGTATTAGACAGCAATAGTCTAACTAACTGAAGATTAAGAGAAAAAGGGCACCAAATACATAAAAATAACCTGGAGCAGCTTGGAGGTGGAAAAAGTTAAAAATCAGAGTCTAGAATAATGTTAATAATGCTGTAGTCAGCAAATGTAAGCACATTAGTTTTTCTTTAATGGCGTCTGACATTTCTGTAAGTTTAATTTTATCTTAATGAAATGGGTAGAAAGAACACTAAACAGGAAGCCAGGTTGTACTCCCACTTTAGAGGTTTGAGGGAAGGAAGATTTTCTTACCTAATAATAAGGGAATTGGATTAAATGACTTTTAAGGTCCTTTTTAGTTCTAAAAATTTATGGTCAACTGTATTGAAGCCTCCCAGATTTAGGAACACACTTCACATCAGGTCAAAAGATAGAAGAGGATGCATGTATAGTGGAAAAAAGGACACAGAATAGTTGATAAGTATGAAATCAGGAGGGTATTGAAGGAAAGAGCGCTATTTCACAGAATATTTGAGACATTCTTTCTTGAAGAGGAATTGTGACCTCTGATATCAGAGACTTGTGAGAGCCAGATTTAAGGTTGCTTTATTCATTTTAGCTGCCTGTTAAACTATCTCCACAAGGTGGGAATATGCAGGCATTTTCTTCCTCCCCCCCCTTTTTTTTGACAGATGTGACTTAACAGGAGCATAATGCAGGTCCCCACTGGTACTGACTCTCAGAGACTTGCAATTCTGGACTCTTGGTACTGTTTGGCACCACTGATGTCTGTGGTTGTTGGGATACACATTGCTTTGTGTCAAAAGCACTCTCTCCCTCCCCTCAAGTTTACCACTTTGTTATCCTGACTCAGAATTCCCAGAGATCAAGACTGGCTGTAGTCTAGCAGAGGAGCAATTGCTCCTGCTTCCTTTACTCCAGGTTTCCTGCCCCTTAATTACTGAATAGTCATTACTGAGTCACTCTGATTGGATGGATGTGTTTTGTCTCTCTCCAGCCACTTGTGCTGTACATCCCCTTCTCTTGTCTTTTGTGAGCTGGTCGAGTTTGATTGCAGCATAGTTTACAGTTAACAGGACTTGTCTTAACTTGGGATTATAGAGTGAGTGACCAGCCATTAAATTACTTAGCAAGGTGATCTTCATTGAGGAAGGAAGCTTGAACTGGGGTTAATCATATTTATGTGGATTTTGGCTAATCTCTTTTGTTCCCTGAGCTCCTGAGTGGAGCTAAACAGGTTGTGTGACCCAAAACAGATTCTAGTGGAGCTTTTTTTTGGGGGGGAGTGGTCTAGTTCAGAATGCATTTGTTAATAGACAAGATCAAAAGGGCCATCCACCTATCACTGTTCTATTGTTTAGGACCTAAGAAAACTGAAGTCAGGGCAGGGGGTAAAGTGTTCATGTGAGGATATCTACCTCCTTCATCACCAGGAAGGCTTTTTTACTATTTGAGGGGGAAGATTTAAGCTTTAGAAACAAAATGTACTTGAAGCCAGGCTCTTATACTTTCCTTGCCTGCTGTTTCTTTACTGTACCTGTGTTTTTAGATGAAAAGGGAGGGATGTTGTGTAGCAGCCAGAGCAAGTGTCTAGAGAGTCTTACTCCTACTCATGATTCCCTACTGTTCAATGTCAAAGCTAACACCTATACTCAGACTCAGAATGGGGAAAATTGTTATCATATCTACCAATATGATAACATATCAGGGAGCTTTGGTGGCCTAGGGACAAGACCCCCAAGGCATCTGGATTGAGGATACTAGCTGCTCTGCAGGAGAAGGATGGGCAGTCTCCTCTCATGTGATTAACTGCCTCTGCAAACCTATTGGAGTGTCAGCTGTGGGTCACTTTTGAATCTACAGTACACAACAACAACAACAATGGATAGAAAAGCAGATATCTAGAAAAGGAGGACTGAGGGGAGATGATGAAGGAACTATATTGCTCAGAGCTGCAGAACTCTCTTTTATAATATCAAGTGGGAGAGATAGGTATGGGGTGCATTGTTCAAGATGGGCACAGAAGAATGAACAGATGTCTGGGTAAAAGAGAACAAGGCTCCTGATAATTTCTTTCATGCTTAAAATTTGTTTGCAGAAGTGTTTTTAAAGCTGTACCGTTAACAGAGGGATGTGGCAATTAGTCTCTTTATTGGATTTGCTTGAATTTTAGCCATTTCTCCCCTCATTAAGAATTGCTAGGCAGGAAAGGGACCTTTTCAATAAATGTTGTCAGTATGAGAAAGAATAGACAGAGCAAGCTGCACTTTTGTTTGAATAGCTGGAACAGTTAAGGACTTTTTCCTACTGTGAGCTTTCCTCCTACTTAGATCAGAAGCCCAGTTGTAGGTTTTCCAGGATAGCTAAAACATCTAGTGACAATTGATTTATGTCCCTCTTGGCAGTGATGCTTGGAACAGATATATGGATATCACTTGGTAACATGAGATGCTGAAAGCCTAGAGGTAGGAGGGGAGACCCTCCTTTTGACTTGTAAATTGAGCAAATTTGATGAGGAAATCATGCTGTGGGAGTCGGTTTGAAACACTAAGATGTCAGTTTTATAGTCAGATTTCTGAGTTTAATTGCTGTTTAAAAAGTGGCAAAAAGAAGTTTATTTTAGCAAAACGTTGTCTGGGAAGATAAGCAAATGCTTGCTTAGGAATGTCATTGCTTCCTTCAAACATAACCACCTTTTTAAAAAAAAATATTTTGTTGTTATTGTTGGGAAGGTGCACTGTAAAACATTAACCAATTCAAACATTTCTCCATGTTAGATTCAGAGACAATGATTATAGTCAAGTCCTGCAACTGTTCTTACTTTCCTTTCTGAATTGTCCCTTCCCTGTTAACATAAACTCACTGCTCCTCAGGGGCCTACTTATCATTCAAGTTCCTTTTGTCCCTTTGATTCCATACTGATAGTTCTTAAAAGAACGGAATCCTCAAGGCAGACCTTTTTTTCCCCTTCCAGTTTAGTTAATCTATTGTTCAGTTTTAAAAAGACTTCAGGGAGTATTTTTTTATTTAAGTTTCATCCAGTCCCCATAACTCAAGAAAATATAGAGCCTGTCAGAATATAAAATTCTGTTCTATCTTTCCCCCCACTTTAATAAAAAAATTCTTTTAATGATTTTTTTTAATATCAGAATGTTCAGTAATGTGAGTTAGGCACCACCATGCTATTTATTCTGATCTCATGACAGTGTTTTCATGGTGACAGTTAGCCACATATTCCATATCCTCCTTCTATTCCTTATTCTCTTCCTCTGTTGCTGCAGGCAAGTAAGAGACAAGTTGCCTTGCCATACCATGTTGTTGTTGTTAAGTGCCGTTGAGTTGCAGGTGGCTCATAGCGACCCTATGAAGGAGAGTCCTCAATGCTTGGGTGTCAAACATTTGTGGAGAAACTGGAGTTGCCATGCAATGCTAGAGGAAATGTTAAAAAGTCTCAAATATTAAGGATAAACAAAATACATACAACAAATTGTTAGGAAGTCATAAGAAAGAAAGAGGTACTGATTCCTGCAACACCATGAATGAACCTTGAAGGCTTTATGTAAGTGAAATAAACCTGAGGAGGAGAAAAAAAAGACAATTATTGTGCGATTCTCCTTATTGAAGATACTCAGAATCATAGAACCAAGAAGTAGAATAGGGGCTTCTAGGGACTGAGGAAAAAGAATGCTGGAGACTTACTGTTTAGTGAGTTTAAATTCTTTGTTTGAAATAATTTTAAAAGAATTTTAAAATCTGGAAACAGTGATAATTATAGAAAATTGTGAATGTACTTTAATATCATTGAACTGTACACTCAAAAATGGTTGTTTTTGTTATTGATGTTAAGTGCCGTCGAGTCATAGGCGACTCATAGCAACCCTATGAACGAAAGCCCTGTTTACTTGTATAACTTTCGTCCTTTCTCCAGGTTCATAGGGTTTCCAGAGGCAAGCTATTAGGAAGTGGATGCCACTCCTCCTTCCAGTGCCATACCGTAGGCATTTAAAAACTTTTAAAACCCAAGCACTAAGGAATGAATTAGGATCTTACAGTTTTTCAAAGTCCTTGGCAGCAGACTTTCATTCTTGACCTATCTGGATTTCCTTAGAATGAGGCTACTGACTTTAAATCTTATTAATGCTTAAATAGCTTGTTGATGTCTTTTTTTTCTTCTTCTTCTTTTAAGCTTTGATCAATTTGCTGAAGTTCCTTATGTCAAATGAGACTGTACTTTTGGCCAAACACAACATTTTTACATTAGCCCTTATGGTGAGTAATGAAAAAAAATTTCTTCCTTTGAAGCCATACCCTGAGGCAGAAGTGGGCTGGTTTGAAATAGGCACTGGTGATCCAGAGAGTAAGCCAATATTTTCTTCCTGGATCAGAATCACTAAATTAGTACTTCCCACTTTGATCTGTGTCTTTATAAAAGTTGGGACTTGTTCTCTTTTATGAGAATGTGTTGTCTGGTAGCGAAGAGTATAGATCTCTGTGTGGCTAGAGAGCCTCGGTGCCAGTTAAGAGACTGTACAGAACTACTGTAGTCTCTGTGTTGGTAAATGGCAAGACCTCTAAAGAAATGTCCCATTCAGATGAGTGGTGGCATCATGGTCATTCTTGGTGTCCTAGACACATTACAGATGCTTGTTTATCTTACTGATTATGTGGGTAGAAGGAGATCATTGTGCCTTTAAACTATCTTCTCAAAACAGTAACCAATATTATCTTGGTGTATGTTCAGTAACTGTCTTTCTGGGGGGATAAAAAGCCCTAATTTATATCATTCTCTATACGTTTCCATGGTGTAACTTAGTCCCACCATGGCCAATATCAAGCTTTCAGTATGGTATTATTGAATACTGATTTGGGAATTGGAATTGGGATTATGATATCCTACCACTTGAGTATGAGATGTGCTTTAGTCTCAAGAACACGGGAATAGTAAAAGAGAAAATAATGGGGAAGTGTTAATTTTTAGTAATTATTGCCTGGGTTTTAATGTAATTATTATATTAATTATAAGTTTATATACACTGATTTTTAGTAATGGTTGTATTTAACAGCCGATTTATAAGATTCCTGATTATTTACAATCTTTTTGGTTCTAGCATATCACAGATTATACCCTTGTAGTTTTATTGCCTGATACCTGCATTTGCAACTTTTGCTTCTTTTTTAGATTGTGAACCTATTTAATATGTTTATCACTTATGGTGACACGTTCCTGCCCACCCCCAGCAGCTATGATGAACTTTACTATGAGATTATCCGCATGCACCAAAGCTTTGACAACCTCTATTCCATGGGTAAGCTATCTTTTCTCTTTGCTCTTCTCTCTCCTTCAGCTGTTTAGTTTTTTACATGTTGCTGTTTGTTGTGTACTGTCGAACTGGAGCCAACCCATAGCTGACCTTCTGGCAGGTTTTCAGGGTCAGTTAAATGTACGGGAGGAGATTGCTCATCCTTCTCCTTTGGAGCATCTGGTGGATTCGAACTTTGTGCCTTTGAGATTGCAGTGCAGCTTCTTGCCTCTAGGACAAAACTACAAAGGATTCTTTAGTTCTCAGTGTCCTTGCCAGGCATGGAAACATAGTAGTCCTCTTAGGTATATGCAGGCCTTATTCCTTCAGGAACTCAGATTTCATCTCAGTAGAAAGTCTGCTAGCAGTTCTATAGCCTTTTGTTAATGTCTGTGGAGGGAAAAAAAGAATAGAGGATTTAGTATTTGTGGATTTAGTATCAGTGAGATGCGGATGAGTGGTGGTTGGGAATTGATAGTGACTAAAATAAAATGTACAAAATTAGAGAGTGTGATTTGTGAAGATATAAAGATTTTAAGGCATCTTAATGAATTGTTTACAAGAGGAAATAAGCATTAGATAACAAGCTTTATTGCAGACTTCTAGTGATTAGTTAACGGACATCTATTTGGTAGCAGTAATGAGTATAGCTTATTTCTGAAAGAAACATTGCATCCTTATAAGTTTGTGTGAAGAACCAAGTTCGTTCTAGCCTTGAAAGGTAAGGAGAGGTACCTGTAGATTGAACAGAAATAGAAAACCACTCAGTATAAAATGGTTTTATTTTTAAAAGCAAATGAAACCATCCATTTTATTTAGGTACAATTGATTTATAATAAAGGAATAATAAAGAGAGCCCGGTGGCATAGTTTGTAAGGAGCTGCACTGCTAACTCTCTCTGGCAGTTTGAATCCACAAGTAGTTCCATGGGAGAAAGATAGATAGTTTCTCATGTGCAGTTTATAGCCTGGGAAAATTCATGGTGGGTCAGCTATGAGTCAGTTCTGACTCCACCTCGATGAGTTTGATTTTTTTAAATATATAATAATATGTTTAAAATGCACAATTAAACAAAAAATGCACAATTAGAAAATTTTTATTATATATGCATGGGAAACTACAATGATGGTAATAAGCAAATCTGTCACTTCCAGATATTGTGTTCCTTTAGAAGGTCTATCCCTGCACTCTTTAAACCATTGATTTCCCTGTACCTTAAAAAACTATTAATCTGTTTCCTATCTCAGTAGAGTACCTTGATTTATTCCTTTTGATGGGACTACTGGTGAAGAACCTATCTTATGTTTGGGACTTCTGTTTCATAAGAAAGTAGAAGGTACTAGAAAAAGCGGAGATGCAAAGAGAGAGAGAACCATACATTGTTTAGGGAACTCTGATGGCACAAATTATCTCTCTTTTACAAAAACTCAAGAGGAATGACCATTCTAGAATAATGTGATCATTGCTTAACAATATCTATGAGTACTAAAATTCTATTTCTCTGCTTCTCATATATATAGTTAGTTAGTTAGTATAATAGTGTTCGTACCAGGTTAGCTCCCTTCAGGATTGCAATCTTTTTTTCCCCTCTCCTCACTTAAGAATTTCTTGTTGTTGTTATGTACCTTTGTCTGAGGACCAACCCATAGCTGACCCTCCAGTGAATTTTAAGAGGCAGTAAATTGTATGGGAGGAGATTGCCCATCTTTCTCTCATGGAGCACCTAGTAAGTTTGGAACACGAGCCTTTGGGTTGGCAGTGCAGCATGACCACTAGGGCAACAGAGTTTTCTCACTTAATGACTGTTGTTGTTTGCCAGCGGGTCAGAACCAAGTAGGAACTAGGAAGTCTTAAGTGGCCCCTTCTGTATAGATTTCTCATTGGCTAGAGGTACTCTATATACCAATACCCTGGTATTGCGTGCTTCTGCCTGGTTTTATCAAGGTCTCCTGGGAATATAGAACTTTCTGAGCGTGAAGAGTTATTCTAGCTCAGCATCAAGAAAACAAAGGTTCTCACCACTGGGCCAATTAGCAGCGTAATCATAGATGATGAAGATTGTTAATAGCTTCAGTTTGCTTGGCTCCACAATCCGCACTTTCGGTAGCAGCAGCCAGGAAGTCTAAAGGTTAATTTCATTGGCAAAATCTACTGTCAAGAACCTCTCGTGAGTACTGAAGAGCAACAATGTCAGTCTGGAGACTAAGGTGTGCCTGATCCAGGACATGGTCTTCACAGTTACTTACTATGCATCAGAAAGTTGGATAATGACTAGCGATGATAGGAGAATTGATGCCTTTAAAACCTGTGGTGCTGGAGAAGAGTATTGCATATACCATGGACAACAAAACCTCCAAAACTATTAAATACAAATGATGAGAATGAAGATATTTGACTTGTTTCTTAATGGAAAAGTTTTGTTTTTCACTATTAAATATATTAAATATCTGTATGTTTTTGTAGGTGCCCTTTATCAGAGTGAGGAAATGATCTCTATTTCTAGTTTGCCATGAGTTATCATTAGTAAATGTCTGTTATCATCAGTCTTACATTTTTTACTTTCTACTTAGTTGCTTGTTATCTTCCCTTCTCATACTACCTTTGTTTTCAGTGTTTGTTAGTCTTCATGTATATTGTATGTAGATTTTTACATAACTTTAATCTTTGTATATACCTCCATTTTTAAAAATTTTATTATCCTACTTTATTTAAATACATTGTTTTTCAGACAAGATTGTTCCAATTTCCCTCACCCCCCACCCATCAAATTGTACAACCCCATGATTAATCCCCCCTCTCCTCACACATCCTCATCCTTCTGCTTCCACCCCCCTTGGATCCTCATACTCACTCCATAGTAATGGTTTTTATACAATATTTGTCCTTGTGAGACTGAGTTAGTCACTCAACATAATGCTTTCCAGGCCCTCCCAAGCTAGGTAATAATTTACCAGATCATTGCTCCTGCATACTGTGTAGTATTCCATTGTATGAATGTACCATAATTTGTCAATCCATTTGATTGTGGTTGGATATCTGGGCTGTTTCCATGTTCTTGATGATGGTGAACAATGCTGCTATGAACATTGATTTACAAGTCTCCATTTGTGCCTCAGTTTTCATTTTCTCAGGATATATGCCAAGTAGTGGAATAGCTCAGTCATATGGAATTTGTGTGTTCAGCTTTTTGAGGAAACAGAAACTGTCTTCCAGACTGGTTGTACCGTTTTACAATCCTACCAACAATGTCTAAGAGTTCCTGTTTTGCCACATCCTCTCCTACATTTATAATTTGCTGTCCTGTTAAACTTTGCCACTGTTACTGGAGAGGATATCTCATTGTGCTTTTGATTTGATTCCTTCACAGTAATCAAGAGAACTCAGAGAAGGAAATTAAGAAAGCAATCCCATTTATAATAGCCAGCCACAAATTGAAATACTTGGGAGTAAACCTAACTAGAGATACAAAAGCCCTATGCAAATAAAACTACAGCATTTCTGCAAGACACAATAAAAGACCTAAAGAAATTGGAAAATGTGTCTTGGTCATGGATAGAAAGACTCAATATCTTGAAAATGACAGTCCATCCAAAAGCAATCCACATGTTCAATGCAATCCCAATCCAGATACCAAATTTATTTTTCAAGGAGATTGAAAGGGAAATTGTCAAATTTATTTGGGGGTAAGAGACCCCAAATGAGCAAAACACTTCTGAGAAACAAAATTGAGGTGAGAGATATAGCACTCCCTGACCTCAAAGTCTACTACAAAGCACTAATAACCAAAACAACTCTATTCTGGTACAATGACAGGCAACATAGACCAATGGAACAGAATTTAAAACCCAGAAATAGAAACAACTATCAACTGATATTTGACAAGGAAATTAAAGCAGTCAAATGGGGAAATGACAACCTCTCCAACAAATGCTGCTGACAAAATTGGACTTCACCTGCAGAAAGCTGAAACAGGATCCACATCTCACACCATACACAAAAATCAACTCCAGGTAGATCAGACACCTGGGAGTAAAGCCCAAAACCATAAAGCTTTTAGGAGACAAAGTGGGATCAAACTTAGAACCCCTAGTCTATGATATAAAGAGACTACCAAATACAGCCAGAAATGCACAATCTGAAGATGATAAAAATGATAAATGGGACCTTCTAAAGAGTAAATCCCTATGTGCATCAAAAAACGTTTTCCAATAGGGTGAAAGGAAAACCTACCAACTAGAAACAAACATTTGATAATACCATCTCAGACAAGAGTCTCATAACAAAAGTTTACAGAATACTCCTGGGCCTCCATAACAAAATGGGCAAAAGACATGGAAAGAATTTTCACAGAGGAAGATATCCAAATGGCCAACAGACACATGAAGAAATGCTCAAATTCACTGGCAACAAGAGAAATGCTTTTTATATTTTTTTAACTAACATCATAAACCATTTCCCCATTTTTCTATAATTTTATGTCTATTTTTATTGACTGCATACTATGTTATTTTTGTGTACCATAACTTGCTAAATAAATGATTATTTTAGTTTTGAGTCTTTGGGATATTTGGAAAGAATTGTGTTTTTGAATTTTGTAGCTAAGAAAAGATCATAAAAGCCTATGGCATTTTAAAAGAAAACCCAGTGATGAGGTCATCTATGGTCCTATTCACTAAGAGACAAAGCTAACAGGATGTTGCACAGTACTCCATGGACAGAGTTAAACACGTTCTTCGATATGTAAAGAGGGGGAAATTCAGCTAAACTCTATATTAGGTTCCTGTCATTACAAAACTTGCAGCCTATTGGAGGATGTAGTGAAAAACCAGTGCAACTAAGGAGATTTCATGGTTGAGTTGAAAAGAACTGTCTGGCCTTTTGAAATAGTTTTGTCCCCTACATGAATAAATTTGCACATTTTTTAAGTGATGCCTCAATTCAGACCTTAGAATTCTAATTTGGAACTACACCAAGTTCTGTATGAAATATTTTAAATTAGAAAAGCA